TGTTTGAAAACGAACGATCTTGTGATAAATATTGAAATATGGAATGGAGAATACTTTTTTAAATCTCATTGTGGCCGTTCGTTTTCGTTTTTTTGTTTTTCGATTCCTAATGGCGTTTTGAACACGAGTTAATGGCTGGATCCTGGAGCGTCTACGCTACCGTTTTATTGACTATTAATTTTAGAGGCGCTCAAACTATTATAGCTGCGGACGTAGTAGTAACATATGTTTATTAGCCAGTAAGGGCCCTGTGTTTGGTGTAACCAATCGTTAATTGGTTAAAGAACATTAAATGTTTAACATTTTTAGTAAGTGATACTGGTGGTTATGCAAAAGAGGTGGAATAAAATTTGCTATACAATTCAGAACATACAATAGTTGTTAGAATGTTGACCTCAGCATTTTGAACGTATCAAAGATTTCGTTTCTTTTTTGTTCCTTTCTATTCGTATAGCGATAGAAACAAAAAGAACACACACTTTACATAATAAAGAACGCATCTTTGCCGCGTCACTTCACTCAACGCTCGGTCGATCTGATTCAAAAAATAAAATAAAAAAAAACATCATAACTCGTTTCTTGGAGGATTTCATATTTTAAAATAAGAATCTGTGTTTTGAATAAGGAACGAGAGTGCTAAGTCACGTTCTGATTTAAATGTATTGTCGATGGATTCATAGGTGTAGGAAAGTTATAAGAGTAATGCGTGAAATAAATACGAACCAAAAGTTACTCGATCCAAACACACACATTGTAACTTAGGTTATTACCCCGGACATGTTCTGGTTTTAGACATTTAAGATATTGGAATCAAATAAAACCTACATCAATTTCGCTTCTACAATCTTCGCTTATGCTATAATCTTCTTTGATTAAAAATAATAATAATACTAATAATAATAATAAATTTTCGTCATATGAGAAAAAAATTGGATATACTCAGAATTGTAAAAGAAAGGAAGCTGCCGTATATTGGCCACGTAATGAGGGGCAATAGATACCGGATTCTTCAACTAATAATGCAGGGAAAAATACAAGAAAAGCGTAGTCGAGGCAGAAGAAAAACCTCGTGATTGAGAGACTGGTTCCACCTTAGTACACATTCCCTCTTTCGTGCGGCAGCTTCAAAAATGAGAATAGCCATGGCTGTCCAACCTTCGTTGAGAAGCGGCACATTAAGAATAATAATAATAATAACACTATGTATTTATAAATCCATACCAAAAGCATCGTAATTCAAAATGAAAAATTAATTGAAGTACAAAATTTGCAAATCACAATTTTTCCAAATTCATTCCAACATTTTTTCCTGAATCTGAATTCGCAGGTTTTTGTGTGAATTTAATGTATGGGAAGTTGTCATTCTGATATGATATGCCTCTCAAATATCGACTATAAAGACATCAACTACGTAATGCACAGTATATTCTGGTTAGATTGATAATTATCATTGCGTTATGTAGGAAAGCTTAAGTAAGTAGCGACATCTAGTAACACTAAACAGAACCACTTCGTCTTCGAATTGTGTGGCATCAGGCTTTATACTCCGTTCAATTTTTAATCACTTTCTAATATGACTCTAACCTGCAAGATGGCGCTGTCATCAATTATAAACATTTATGCATATCGGCCATTCAGTCTCGATAACATTCAATTAATGGACGGAACATTGACCTACCAACAAATGGACATCGGGTTCGCGCTGAAAAGTATCCGCACCTATAGGGCGTTAAAATCGCACACAGAGCGTCAATCGCGCAACAGTCTTCGTTTGTTCAACTGAAAGCGCGGTTGTCAATCATGCAGTACCATATAATAATAACTTGTAAAAATTACTGCAGTAAAGTGTAAAAACAGGATTTTGTATCATATTTTCACTAAACAAATATATTGTGTTATCATAGTTCTCATTTAAAAGTGTTATTTTGTACAATGTTATAGTATTTAATTTATATATATATGAATCGTAAATATAAATTACAAAAGCACACAAAATGATCAAATAGCTGACTGTCCTTCTACATATTGCATGCGCAAAAGATGGAAAGAGAGATTTACGTCAATTTTAAGAAGCTTTCTTGGTCATTTTCAATTGTTCGAACCACAAGCGATTGAAATATTTAGAACAAAGAAACTATAGAGTCGCTTTGATGTTAATCTTATTTTAAAATGATGTTTTATTAAACGTTAGCATTATGAAACAAAATATTGTTGTACTCGTTTTACAGCTTGGGATTATATCAGAAGTCAGAAAATACATTCGCCCGTAATAACGTTAGCTCGAATTTTCATAATGTCAAATGTATTTTTTACGAAGATTAAAAAACAAAAGCTTATATTGTCTTTATGAAAAGCATCAAAATTACTCGAAAGCGTAACGGTTTTATTATAAATCTGTTTTCGAAATTACGGATATTTGAGTTTACGTTGAGCTGGAATATCGGTACATTTCTTATGGTACACGCTTATTTTCACATTTGTAGTAATATTCGTATGCATGTATCTGCCCAACTCTTTGTTATTTCTTTAAGTGAATTTGTACAAAACTCGACATAATAATATCTATAAAAATTAATTAATATTTACGATAAAGGCTACTCTCCATTACTCTCGTGTCCAAGTAATTTTCAGTCGAAGCCAAATATGGTGCATTTTGTTAAATTTCCAGTAGAAGCTGAATATGGTGTTTTTGGGTCCTTAAATTGTTGAAAAATTAGGCACTACTGCAATGACGTTACAATTTAAATTAAATGTTTTAGTTTTTTATATTTCGTTACATGTAACTACGTTTGTATAGGTTAACTTCGGACATTGTTTTCGTGGTTTTTGTATTAGACCCGACGTCTATTTGTTGGTAGGTCAATGGGACGGAAAAATAAATAAACCTCCTTGGCCCACCAGTGTGGACCTTCCAATGTGTAGAGGGAGATTCCAATGTGATCATAAACTGTTGCTAAAATTTTCTACTTACATAAACACGCGATTTAGTCCGTTCTAGTGGCAAAGAAGTAAATGTATTCGATCCGCCATTTTAATGTTACTAAGCGTGTCCTATTCTGTTTATGCTGGGTTAATATTATTGTTCGACAGCACCGTTTTTGATTCTCGAGAACCACATTATTTAGTTTAAATCCGATCATACCCAGAACGTGAAAGTCCACTAGACGCTACTTGCAAATTCTAGAATTAATCGCTATAAATATAGGTATTTTTACAAAGTCTTGGAGCCTGTTTTATAGAATTTACACATCACATAGTCATTGTTAAACTTTTTTAATACGTAATAAATACTTAGACATCCTATTGAATGGATAATTGAATAGCTGCACCTAGTGGTCACAAGATGTAAATTCAGCAAAACCTATGGAGACATCGGATAGTGAGCAGAGATGGGCAAAAACCTAATCAATCCGCCGGGGTTTTCGCCTGGTTTTTACCCAAAGTGCAAATTTGTAATAAGTATGGAATTATACCAAATTTCGTATTCGCCGTTTCTGCCTACGTTAATGGGTTTTAACCTGATTTGAACCACACACAATTGCCCATCTCTTATAGTGAGTTTCGTTTTGCTGTAGTTTACTACGCATTCGGTATCAGCTTAGACTACGGAAACATTATGCACATTTATTCTGTACTTCGTCCTTTCTTTTATTTTTTTTGCCATCAATGCTCTAAGGGTATCAGAGTCATTTAGTTGACAAATGTCATAAAAAAACGTAACCTTCCATACTTACGTTTCTCACTGGGATTTTATACGTGTGAAATTTTGGTGCAACTTCCTAGTATTTATGTGGTCTGTGAGTGCAACTTTCATGCACATATATTAAATATATCTTATTAAAATTTATTTAAACTTTAAGATACATTTTAATAAGATATATTTGAACAGCGGTCACATTTTAAAAATGTTTTCTATGTGTTTTTGTATTATTATAGTAAATAAGTACCTACATCGATTCAGAAAGTATTTTCAAAATGACTTTTGAGAGACCAACATCCATAAATAATAAAGGGATAAAATGATGATCTTCCTTTTTTTAAGTTGCTTTCAGACTCAAGTACCGTTTGTTAGATTTGAAGACACGAGCACAGTTTGTTAATAACTGAAAACAATATTAACAATTAGGTATATAGGTGAAAGAAATTAAGAAGGGCTTACTTATCTTTCCGTGACCTCCTCCAGTAACTGGAATTGACGGAAAATTGGAAAAATTGACTGAAAATTGGATTTTATAATACTAAGTGACGGGATGAACAAGTCGTGCGCCTGTTGCTAAGCGACACGCCTATTCATAACAGTTACAGTGCCACTTATCGAGCTTTTAATTGCAAAGATCTAAGGGAACTGCCAACGTGCCCGTCATCCTGAAACAAGCTGACAAGGCCCATGTGCCTGTAATTTCACCCATCCTCTTACCTTCCAAAACCAGAACGCAGTCATGCTCACATTATTGCTTGACGGCAGAAATAGATAAAGTGGCAGTGCTTGCCTGGACGAACTCTTTCACAAGGAGCTCTACTCCTAATAAGGCTCATATTATCTACTACATTTAGATATATCTTTTCGAAGTTTTATTTAACGTGAATTATAAAATAATATTGTACAGCTAAAATTTCAAATTTCATCGTTTTCGTTCAGTATCTTTTTTTTCCATCCTCTTAAGTCTGACAGTCTGAGTAAAATTTGACAGAGGACAACTGTCAAATTGGGACAAATATAGGAACATATATTCGGAATTTATTTTTTATATGAATTATTCAAAATGGAAAATTTTCCATGACCCAACACTAATCGAGCTTACTACAGGGAGTATATTATGCGTTTAGGGAACTCATGGGCAAGTATCGAAAATTGATCAATGTGATTTTGTTATTAAATATTACAAACTCATCAATATTGTATTATTTCTATGAAGTGCGCGTTGCCAGTAATATGGATATTTGTATCATCGTAACAATATATTTACTGTAAAGATAATTAAAACGTCATTGTAATTTTTATGGTATACATATTTATTTATAAATTACGCGGTCACATGATATAAATTTAATTATGTACAATTAAATAATATAGTTAAATACAAAAATAATATTACAGATTAGGGCCCGTTACCGACGACCGTTTCGCAAACATTTTGTGGTGGCTTCGAAAATATCCAAGAAAGGGTCAACTTGAAGGTAAATCGGGCCTAAATCCGTGGTAACATCGATTAACAAGCTTAATTTTAAGAAGCTGCTTTGAAACCTGTTAGATGAGGACGAGAAATTATAAGAAATAAATAAATAAATAACAATGGCGACAATAAATAAATTAACATTTAACAGTGACTAGAGAACGAGGATTCGATCGTCCAAGCGATTTCTCATAGGCATTCGATAGGGTGTAACACTTAACAATACTTAATAAATTAATAAATAATTTAATTATAAAAAAATCTCCTTTACACACTTAGACTCCAAATTGTATAAAAATGGTGTTCATGCTCAATATTTAAATCATTATGTTTCGAGTGAAAAATGTTGGGGGTGCCACAAGGTAGCACCTTGGGTCCCAAGTTTAACGTTATGTGTCAGTCCATGGTTTAGTGGCGCGAAGTAATGCATTTAGACGTCGGTGACGTTAAGGTAGAAGGCGGCGAAGGAGTCGCCCTTGGAGCCGACTGCGCGAGCCTGGTACTGGCCGCTATCGTCGGAAGAGGACTTGGCGATTTCGATGCGGTACCGCGACGTGCCTTCCATGGTGAACCTGTACCTCGGCGAAGTCTCGTCAATAGGCTTGCCGTCCTTTAACCATTGAAGCTGGAGTGGTGGCTGTTAATAAAAAAAGTAATTAAATGATTATGATATCTTGTAATAATAATAACAATGTTTAGTGCGACACGCTTAATGAGTTAGATTTCACGATTACTACATTAGAAATGAAATTATGTTTTCAAATCTAAATCTCGTATATTTATTTTTTCTAAACCAAACCAACGTCGGGCAACTGTAACCATGGACCTATAAAGAGTCGGAAACGTTGGTTTGGATAACGAGATCATAGACTATGCATTTCAGAGGACTGAATGGCGTTCACTACACCGACCTACTTCAGCTCTTAAACTATAGTTACCTTGTCCAGTTCAGCGGTGAAAACAGCAGGTTCAGATGAGCTGACGGTAGCGGAAGCGGGGAAGGCAGTGTACTGCGGTGCGGCTGACGTCTCGCCCGGTACTTGTACAACCAGTGTGCATGAGGAGAACGATTCGCCTGCATCGTTGAACGCCTCACATGTGTACATACCTGAAGAAACAGTACGTTCTAAATAAACTTCTTCACACTATTTGTGTGATGATGTCATTAGATATACAAACCTGCGTCTTCAGGGAAGATCTCTGCGATATGTAGCTTATGAATGTTAGCTTCACTCGAGTATTGGAAGTCCTTCGAGGGCTTGATCTCTTTGTTGTTGTGCAGCCATACTACGTCGAACCTCTCCGCTCCGACGATTCTAAATACAGGGGAAAGATGGTTAGACATTCTGTATCATCCCCAATTACCCATCACTAAACGTTAATTGCTAACTGAGGTAGCGTAGAAGGCAACAGTGAAATCCAGATAAAGGATAGCAGTGAAGTTTACCAAGGCTCATTTATTTATTCAAATCATCCTGTAATAGTAGAAGATTAGTCATCGAAGCGATTTCTTTGGCGATCATCAATCATCAGAGACGCTTTTGTGTCAATCTATTAAATGCACGTAAGATAGTATGTGGTTAATGTGGTTAAAGAGACTGACCGGCAGGAGAGTGTGACGGCGTCGCCGTCAGTGACAACCTGCGACTTAGCGTGGTCCACTATCCTCGGAGGCTTGTCGCCGGTCTTCAGTGTGGCAGCAGTCCCTCCGCTCTCCATCGCTGTTCATAAACATATATTATATACAACATAAACAAATGCATTAGTACTGTTGTATTCAGACACTACAGTCGGATTCTTTGTAAATAACACAAATAGGGGAAGTATCTGCTCAAAAATGAATATCACTCATTACAAGTTTAATTTTTTTGTTTTCCTGATATATTGGAACGGATTCACGCTCCATGGTCAAGCGTTAACTGAGTAACCGTTCCGAAATATGGGGAAATTTTACCGTGATAAGAAAGGTAGTCATTTGGTAAATAATCATTATATTGCTCAAAAATGTGTGACGTAATGCGATCCAATGGTAAATATAATAAAATGGGATTAAGGATCAACAAGCTAAGCTTTGTTTGCTAAGTCCAAGAAGTCCAAGAAGTCATCACTATACGTTATACCTTCCTTTTAAATTTTAACACGATTGCCATAACTCAAAAACAGCTTAGTCGCATCGAAGCCGATGCAAGGTTTTTTAACGTTATCAAGAGCAAATAAAAGTCACCTTTCACCGAGACCTTGCACTTGGTCTCGACCTCCCCCTGGCTGTTGATGGCCTTGAGCGAGTACTCGCCCTCATCCTCGGGGAACACCTCGCTGATCGCCAGGGACGCTACGCCGTTCTTGTACTTCAGGTCTACTACCTGCAATGGACGGATTCTTTGGAATAGGTTGTAACTAGTGACCATGTAACCAATGGGTTCATTTTCCCGCAGCACAACGATTATTCGCAATTTTCCCTGTAGTTGCTTCTATGGAGTAAATACCTTAACTAATTTATGCAATACATACTTCAGAAGAATACAATGGCCTTCCGTTCTTGTACCACTCGACCCTGGGGTCAGGATCGCCTCTCACTGAGCAGGACAAAAGTAAAGGAGCTCCGTCCTTTGCGGTTAGCACATCGGGCAGTGCGCGTGCGAATGATGGTGCACACATTGTCTTGTCGGATGCTGGTACTGTGGGGAAGACAGGAATAGTACATTACTGCAGAGAAATGGAAATAAAGACTTCCTGGACGAGTATAACACAATAAATTTAGTATTCGTTTTGTAATAACAGCATTAACAAAATTTAGTCTTTTATGATACCTAGGGAAGTAGGGAAACAGCCCGGCAGTTCAGGCGTCATACATTCTGAAGGTGAGACATCAGGAGTCTGTTAGGAGTGTACTGGTTGGTCGGCACTGCAGTTGGTAAGTTTGCACAATGTTTATTACTAACTTAGATACAGAACAAATACTCTTAGCCTTTGCAACACATGATCCAAAGACGGTTGCCACTGCAGCCGAGGTCTTGATTGGCGTACCGTTAATACTTTTTGATCGAACACATTCTTATTATCTTCCTAAAATAATAATAATCTAGTACAGGTGATGATGAGTGATAACTTATAAAATTAAATATACTCACAGACTAACTCCTTAGTCGCGCTCCTGGATCGTGATGAGGTGTCGGAGTCGAGCTTGGAGTTATACTTCTTCTTGCTGCCGTCCACAGACGTTTGTGGGGAGATTTTGGGCCGCACCGTCGCGTGCGCTTTTGGTGGAGGGTCGACCGTCACCTGGTACATACAAGTCATGTTTCGAGTGGTTCAGTTCTAGAGTACATTGCAGATACTATAAATAAAAATGACTCCTCTTTTTCAGGGTTTGAACAGAGAAAAAGATCGTTAATAGAAAATATTATGAGTGTGTAATATATTATTGAGATTTATTGTGAATTAACTCCACTAGTTTTGTTATTATTATTATTATTACAAAGATCGAACACATATAATTTTTTTTCTTCGTCCCGGCGGGACTTAAACCCACGATCATGCTGCACCGTAGCATTGCTCTTACCAACTGAGCCACAGGTCAAGTTGACCCACCGGGTCGAAGAAATTTTTCTAACTGTGTAATATTTTTCTACTTTGTGATGATGCAAAATTTTCAGTTTGAGCCTCCGTTTTATAAGATATTAAATTTAATACTGTTTGACACAAAAGCTAGCAAGAGATTTACTTCAAAGGAAATGGATTTGTTGCTCAATTTTGTATGAAAATGATCTCAAGACTAAATGGTCGTTCAAAAACAAAATATTCTGACTAAAATATTCAAAATACAAATAAAGTGTGCGAAAAACTATAAAATATACCAGCCATTCGTTAACATTCGTCTCTTAATGGTAGAATACCTTTGTCTTGGTGATAATTGGCGGCGGCGCAGGTTTGATCGGTTTCTCGATGTACCGCCTGTCGCCCGAGTACAGGAAGTTGTGTGCCAACTCCGCCTGCTCAGGTGGGACTACCTCGCCTGTGGAAATTTCAATAGAGTCATTAATAAAATCAAATTAGCTACCAGGGAGGTTACAGTTATCATAAGAGCGACTTTTTCTTTTTGTGAAAGGATTTAAAGAAAGACCTATTCACTATTACTACTTAAAAGTTCGAGTTCCTTGTCCTATGGTGGCTTGTACCTGTGAGTTCAATTTCTAAGTAATGTACATTTATGAATGTTTAATAGCAATATATCGCTAACAGTGAATGAAAACTATCGACCTTATCCACTACATATACTGTAATGCTTTGACGTGGCCAACTACAAGGTGAAGTACTTTGGAGTACCGAGGTCACTCCCCGAAATCTTCAGCAAACCCAGGACTGGCGTGTCAAACCAATACACTGTAAAGTCATTTACAGTGTTTTGATTTAACAGCGCTCATATGATTTCTCTATGCCTAATCTGGACCCTGACATTTCAACTGTGTTTGTTTTTGTTTAGTGAAGTGTTGAAAAGTGTATTTCAAAGAGATATTAAAAACTAAAATACACTGTAAGTTTTAAAATTTAGAAATTATTCTAAATTTCTTTTGGTTTGACAATTACGTGCGCGAAATGAAATACAGTGTTAGCGAAAACTCACGAGAGAAATAAATATAGGCCATACAAATATTTCTCTAAGCCCGGGAATCGAACCCGGCATCGCTGCTGTGGCAGACCAGCACGGTAACCGTTCGGCCACGGAGGCTAGTCTAGTTATATTGTATCGGGGAGTAGAGTTGAGTGTACAGTGTCAGCAAAAACGGCCTAACTCTGCATTATGCCGCTGCAGCATTATTTTAAAACTCACCTTCAACAATAACGACGCAAGATGTCTCATCGGTGCCGTGGCAGTTGGTGGCCACACACGAGTACTTCCCACTGTCCTCTGGTCGGCAGTCAATGATCTCCATCGTGACTACGCCGTCCGAGTGCGTCATCGAGTAATCGTATTTTGATAGCTCTCGCTTATCCTTATACCTGTAGGACAAGTTACGATTTAAATACGTTACGTCCTTTTGTCATTTAAAAATAAAGTTCAAAACTAAATTATAATTTTAAATTTTCTGTGTAAAATAAATAAAATTTGCCCGAAAATTTATCTCGGATATTTTTCATATTGCATGTAGATTAATCAAACTTCCTAGAATTAATTTACAGTAAAACACTGTAGACACAACAGTACCATTTTGCATTTTCAGTAATAATGAGCTTAAAAATATTTATCATTGACCTAAAGCTATTAATGCAATTTTGCAGCAGTTATACAAAATCTTATTTCCTTATGTCCTTATTGAAAATATTAATTTTTGAAACCAGGGAAATATTATTCTTCGATATAACAATATTTTTGTATATATAAATAACAATATTATGTGTTCAATAGTACATACGCCAGCACATCTAGCTACACATTGACGTATCTTGTTCCGTTGCAATGGAGGCGATTTTCGAACAAAAATGTGTAGTCTGATGTGCCGTTGTCCGTACATAAACATGGTACTGACCACAAAGAAAATAAAACACCATAAACAGATGAGAAACAATCGCATAGAAAAATTCATAAGATCTGCTGGTTCGTTCGGTAGCTCAATTAGGAGAGCGTCGGCACGGTATGCTGAAGATGCTGGTTCGAATCCAGCTGGATCGAAACAATGTTTCTTAGTGTTCGATCCTTGTTTATAATAATTATGGTACTGACCATTTAACAGTCGGTGTTGGCTTGCCACTCAGACAGCAGAGCAGCTTGCAGGTGTCCCGGGCCTGCATGACGCGCGGGCGCAGCTGGAAGGTGAAGACGGGCGCCGTCTCGGATGACTCTTGCCAGAACGTGTACGGGAGGGCTTCGCGACGGCGCGGAGCCTCTGGTAGGTGTTGGCGTTGGACTTTAGGAACCGCTGCAATAGAGATGTGGCGTAAACACGGATGTGCACAGATAGAGTTGAACTTACATGTGTTGTCGATAGTGTCCTCGCACAAGTCATTAATGTTAGTCGTGCACGAAAGGGGCCTCCCCGCAATAACGTACAAATCATATTCGTAGTATGTCCGGTACACCCTGGGCAACAATTCGCGAATACATAACGCTGCCGATTGGTAAATCCTTTCAACACGATGGTAAAAATATACAGTTCAGCATGGCGACTACATGTGGTCTGACCAGCATGGCTAAGTTCTGGGCCGCGATATATAGTGTATGCCTTCGGTGCAAAGCTGTTCTAAAGAAACGCTATCTCGGTTTGTAGTCACTTTTGAATATCTATAGTGCTTATTTAAATGTGAATATATACTCTAGTACTAATGAATTTAGTAAGTAGTAAGTTAATTTAAGCATTGAACATTTTAGCTCATCGCTAAGAGTCGCTTTTTATAACTTTCTTTGAAATTTAATGAATGAAAAAAATAAGAATTATCGTTAGCATTTAACATAACTTTTTTAAAACAAAAAGACCTAAAGTTCGTGGGATTACATATATTTGCCATGTTTTATTGAAATCGGTTACCGGAAAGTACCCGAAACCGGATTCATCCAGGAATTTGCCACCCTTAGAGGTGGATATTTTCTTCAAATTTAAATGGGTTCAATACTGAGGTACCCTCTTTCCAATAAAAAAAAGAATCATCACTAATCTAAATCTAAATTCGGAGTTTTTCGCGTAACATACATACAAAAAAATAGAGTCACAATTGAGAACCTCCTCCTTTTTTAAAGACGGTTAATAAATGCATTTCAAATCCACCGAATTCTAACCTTGACGCTAACGCTGCACCGTTCACTTATGTTATCACAACTCTATGTAATTTACATATAAACAAGTCAAAAACTATCAATGTTTAAAAAGTACGTTTCAACACAGTTTGATCTTTGAAATAACTAAATGAAACTTCGAGTAACGACTAACTATACAAATTTAAACCGAAGCCAATGAACCTAGGCGCAGCGTTAATAATAGATCCGACCCAATTGTTGCCAAATCTTCTTATTGTCATCTTAATGTCGATGTCGTAGAGGTTATTTATTTGACGATTTTGCTTTTTAATTGCCGAGGTGCGAAATCACTTTTGAAATATGATGGAACATGAGTCACACTAGTTACAATAATATCTATAGACAGGCTCCTTAAAGGAGTATGAATAATTTATTTACATTAAAATTAGAACTCAAGTCTTTTGTAATAAGGAGCATTGCTCTCGAAGCACAAAATCTGTAATTACGGCCATTTTTCCAAAGGAATTTCGATATTAAATAATTATTTTATAAAAAGAAAAAGCCGACCACAAAAGTTCGTGGAATTACATCTATTTGCCAAGTTTTATTGAAATCGGTATCCGGAAAAAAGAGCGAAACCGGATTCAATGGGTGTCGTCAACTGTTTGACTTCAAATCGACCAGTTAACTTGAGATTTGCTATAATGGACGAAAATTACAAAATTACATATCTAATATTTAATTACCGATGAAATGTGATTCCGTTTGTTTTATAATTAAATGTTTTGCTGTTTTTCCCGCACCACCGAATAGAACAGCACGGCATTGTTAGAGATATTCTTTATTACAATAAATACAGAATATTTTTTGGAATATACGGAGACGTACACACAGGTCAGTAGTTGGCCTGTCCATATTTCAGTGCAAACGGGAGTTGATATTTATAAGAGCTGTATCGCTGCGTGTTACCAGGAATATATGGGCCTTATTTCGTCTTTATTTCTGGTTATATTCTCGATAGCATAGGTACAGTCGACGCTGTAAGATACCTGACCGACTATTTTGGTTTTTAGCAGGTCGGTGTGAAGAAAAGTTTAAAAACAAACTTAACCTTTAACTAGTGAGAAGTAAGACACATTTTGGTATTACTTCTTTATTGAATCATTAGTGAATCACGTTTTAAGAAACTTTTTAAGCCAATTTGGTCTTTAATTATATTACAAAAACACAAATTTCACCCAAAAAGCTGGATTTCTTTTACACTTTTTAGTTTAATGCTTAAGAAATCTCTAAGAACCAAAAGGTGGGCTAAGGGGTCAGGCGTGTTAGTATATTAACTGTACAAGTGATTCGCAATTAATACTTACGTTGGACGTTAAGGAAAACGACCTCTTCCCGGAAGCCGTAATGGTTCTCAGCCCTGATGATGTACTCGCCTCTGTCCTCCAGTTTCGCGCGGTTGATTATGAAGTAATAGTCGTCACCCGCGTATCTATCGATCAACATAAAACGTTTTATTACATCATCTTAGCGTGTCGATTCTGACGTTTATAATTGTGAGGAGAAGGACTTAGCCAGCGACACATCATTATCAGTGAGGTTTCTCGCGTATACAGGGGTAGGGACAAGCAGGGCACATCAAAAGATGTGCCATTGTCTGGGGAGAGACACCACACCACACACATATATGCACTCTCCGAGCTATAACCCCACCGGTGCATGCTCTCCTTTGGGAATTATATTACTGATATTAAAAGTAACATATAAAATATGTCTTGAGAGTTTTAAATCATTGATTTCGTTGCTTAGCTCTTTTATATTTTCTTTTAAACAGGATATTCTTAACTGTATACCATTGACATTTAAAAAAAATTGACATTTTCCTGTCCAATACCTGTAACCAGTACATGAATTGCGACTGAAATTCTGATTATTTTGACCACCGTTTTCGCGATTTTGACACAGTGGAATTTCTAATTTCGCGCATATTTGTTTTTTCGAACAAACCAACGCTTCGGGCCCTTTAAAGGTCCCACGGTAACGGCTGATTTTTTTTAATGATTTTGTGTGGTAAGCGACACGCCAACTCATAGCAGTTGCAGTGCCACTCAGAGCTTTAAACCGCAAAGATTTGGTGGACACGGCACCCACCACTCTAAGACAAAAAGTTGTCAAGTCCCATATGCCTGTTTCACCAGTACCTGCTTACATTACTTTTCCATTGTCACAAAAAAATACACACTGTAAAGTTACATCCAGAACTTCATTGAAAGTTAATGTTACTGACCGTTTCATGAACTTGACAGACTGCCGTAGTTCGTGGTTGTTGCGCGACCAGGTAACGGTGGGAGCTGCAACGGCGATGATGCGGCAGTACAGTTTCACCGACTGCCCTTCGTAGCAGAACGCCGATTGCGGTCTGATGACGAACCGCGGCGCTGCCTGCCGACGATCTGAGAACAGATTTAGAATATTAGTAATGTCTCGTAAAGCTATCCAAAGGAATTGGTTTTGGTGGTTATTTACTAAATTATGATCACTAAGTGCGTTTGCGCATTAAATCCGAGACTATACAAATCTAGAAAACGCTGATTCACTTCGAATGGCGCTTGTGCACTAAGTCCGATTACAGGGCGACACAGCTAGAGATAATATGATTCCTGTGACATTTCGGACCGTCATTTCTCGGATTCGGAATTGATACGAATTGGACGTAGTACGCAAATGCTCTACAAGTTGTGTATTGACTTCTTTCGACTTTTTTTGTAGAAAAAAAAGGAGTGATAAAGACGTCGACGCGACGAGCGAAAGGGAGTAGACAGATATGTCTGTTCTTAAAGTCACCATCTAGTCAACTTGTGGTCATGGACCATTGTAACATGACGTAACTGTTCCGAAATATCGAGAAAATAAAAACAATCATACAAAAATATTACAAATAGACTATTTGACCTTCATTGACAGAAAGGTTTACAAACAACTTGCCACGTACACCTGATAAATTTTCCATTGAAATATAAAATATATAAGGAGAGTCCGTTTCTACTCAATAAAGCAGTGGTCGCGGGGTAGAGCTGTGCTAATTCCACCCCGCACTCGTGAAACCATACAGCCTGACAGAGCTATGGTGGATCTCTCAGACGTCTAAGTACGTCATCGTCGTACCAAGTAAAAGGGTTTACATTCCCGCTTCAGTCGCCCAAGCGCGAAGTCAAATTGAGCATAAAATAATTCTGATTTATAATATGTCGATATCCTAAACTACATAATTATGACCACACGACGCTTAGGTGTAGCTGTGCCATCGTCAACACATGAGATATCACCAAATTTGTAGTGACAAGCGACACTTACCAAACTGACCATCGTAGATCTTCCATTTCTCGATGAGAAGTTTGCGTAGCGAGCTGTACTCGCTTAGCCTGCCGATCGGCAGCGCGAACGATGACCAGTTCTGAAACAATCGTCGTTACATATTTTTTTATTTTATATTCACAATGAGAGAACAGTCTCTTCTCAATTCAGAAGTCGATGGTTAGAATCTCTATGGTGGCATGTACGTATGTACTTATGACCTTAACTTCAAAGTTACGTTACATTTGTGAATGTATAGCAGAAATACACCTCCCTAACGGTGAATGAAAATATAATGATGAAACCCACATGTCGATAAAACTTCATTCGACCCGCATTGTGCCAGCGTGGTGGACTATGCTTTGGGACGTAGAACGAGCTGATAATAGCACATTGTGTATTAAAGGTGGTAAATAAATAATGATGAACGAGACTTTCGGAGTCGAGATTCGTAATTACCGTAAAGCCCGTGAAACGTGACCGTACACATTCCGTCGTCACATGGTATATGTCCTTTACGCGGTCACACACTTCGCACTTAAGCGAATCAACTTTCCTCATTAAATGGTGAAATTACAGGCACATGGGACTTGTCAACTTATGTTTCAGGGTGACTGGGACAGTGATATTGCCCTTCAAATGTTTGTCATTTAAAGTTCTGAGTGGCACTGCAACTGTTATGGACAGGCGTGTAGCCATAAGGCGCACGACTTGTTCGTACCGTCACTTGATATTATGAAAAAATAATAATAACTAAAACCATTTAGTGTAGTAACCACTAAAAGGTTTGGTAATAGTTGGTATTAGTTGAAAAAAATTGCTATACTTACATCGTATCTCTGCCTGAGCCTGTCGCGCATGTTATAGTACCGGCGGGACTCGATGGTGGCGGTGCGAGCCGCGGCCGCGTCGCCCGCCAGCCACTTGTGCATCAGGCACTCATGAGCCGTCATGCGCTTCCTGAGATGCAACTCCATCATTAGACACAGATTTTAGCAGTACCTTTTCTTTTCAATAATAACTAAATTTAGGTATTTAGCTTTGTTTTTTCTTCTTTCTTTCTTTGTATTTGTTCATGAAGTATATCATTGTAAAGTATGCACGGAACGATTTAAGAAATCAAAAATTAAGTCGACATATATGCGAAACCTTTATGGTGTACAGTTCATTGGTTGAAATTTCGCATTATAGATATAATAATAAGGAAAAAAGATTTTTTCCTCACGTAAACTGAATGGAGCTAGCACACAGAACAATAAATACATTAGAAGTGGTTAGTTAGCTTATGTTGCGTGCCAATTATAAGTCTCGAAAGACCTATCTAAGCACAGTACGCCCTTTTCGCTGTGTTTAGTTGTGTCATTCTTTCATGCAAAATTTCTAAAATCCTAGAAAAATGCCTTATTGTGCTGTTTTACAGTGCAAAAATTATAGCCGCACCAAAAATATTACTCGTGGTGGCATTTCATATTATCGGAAATTCTTATTTTAATACATTTTAAATTTTTTGTTTATCGAAATGATATTTTTGTTGCAAGAAACGAAAGTAAAGCATATACCCAATATGCAACATGGTCGCTTCTTTTTTGGAGAACTAAATTAATAACTCCAATTCGTCGTCGTTCAGCAATTAACCGCTGGATGGCAGCACATTGATTGAAATTTCAATATAATATCAAAACGTCGTAACTTGCAATACTATTTCAACGATATGCCAACTGGGTAAAGTTTAAATTATATTAACAATCCAGATTTTTTAAAATTTCAAACTACGACCAATCAATATCAAGATTTTGTAGTTTTTCAAATTAAGAATGTGTGAGTTTTGGCGACATCGGTTCTGATAGTAATTGAGGCTTAAGGCATTTCCATTGTTTTTTTTCTTCCGTGACCTAGCATGTAATAATAATAATTTCTTGAGCAAAGCCTAATAACAGAATAGCTAACTAAATCTAACAAGCTGCAATAAGATAAAGTTGTAGATTCATTCTAAATTAATTGACCATTGACTTCCCATACTAGAAAAATATGTAATATGAGTGTCAATCATACTCCGTGACAACTTCACAACCTTGAAAAACAATTTCAAATAAGTACTGAATTTTTAAATGTCGTCGTAGTGCTGTCGCTAGCATATTGCCAGTTCTTTTACATAGGCCGCCTGTGGGTAGTAGCAATGTGCGTTCAATAATACGTTTAGGATGCTATTCCGACTTCTCTTCGGCATCCTGAGCACATGGTAAATAAGTGGGAGTCTCCAAAGCTGGGGATGCTTTGCCCACTGCTAGCAATTCGTAGCCATTTGCCCTGACATTAGCTAGGTTGATCTCCCCCATACAAAATACATACCTAATATAGTTTTCGAGTATATTTTACTAAATAAATTATTATTGTTATTGATAGCTGTAATAAAAATACACGCTATTAAACAGAATCATTCTAAATCATTAAAAAGCATATTTAAGTTATTCTTTGGAATAGAAAAGAAATACTGCTATTTCAGTGAACAATCTACATAAAGTAGTATTATGATACTTACTCTTTGTTCTTAACGAGCAGCCGACGGATGAAGTCCTTGGCGTCGTCGGAGACGTGCTGGAAGGCCTCATCGTCGAATTCCCAGTCGCACGCCTTCACGTTCTTGAGGGTCTCGATGTCGTTGTTGCCCGCGAACGGTGACAGGCCAGACAGCCTAGTTAAAAGAGAAACTCTATTGTTACTCAAATTCGAAAAATATGTTAAGTTCTTCATGGTCGTGTCTAGAATATTTATTCGCATTTCCTATGAACCAAATAAACACTAATTTCACAACGTTTAGATGACTATACAATGAAAGAATCACTAGTGAGGGTTTCATCGCTGCACTAGGTTCCTTCGCGTTTGGATACCACTTTCCACTTAACATCAGGTGGAGTGGAGTCATTTGCCTGTCATGTATAAAAAAAAACAGCTGAATGAACTAAATACAGCTCTCTCATTTTTATTCTGCTTCGTATTTTCTGGGACAGCTTAGCATGTAGCAGATGCTTCCATCTGGTGCAAATTGAGACAGCAAAAGAAGCATACTAGAACCTTTGAACTTAGAAGATTCAAGCATGACGAATTGTATGTAGGTCTTCGTTAGCAGTTTTAATGTTACACTTACAGCACGTAAGAAAGAACACCGACAGCCCACATGTCTGTGTAGAATCCGACTGGTTCTCGTTCAACGATTTCGGGCGCTGCGAACTCCGCTGTGCCTGTTGAAATCTTGACCACCTCGTTGGGGTCCAGTTTCGTTGCAAGGCCGAAGTCGATTATCTGTTACGAGAATAAGGACGATAGGCCTCACAAGACGTGAATATTTTAACAGCAAAGCACACGAGAATACACCCTATTTTGGCTTACAGTGAATTACGGATACATCTTGGAGAATGTACAGTTGGATGGTTGATAAGCAATAACGTGTCAACCAGTATGGTCATGGTTTTGCGAAAATGGCACCTAATTTTTGGCAAATAATTTACTTGTAAGACTTTTGCTGTTGTCACCTTAGAAATGATGAATTGTTGTGATTTATTACTATAATTCCCCAACAACAACAACAACAACAACAAGCACAACAACAAAAGTTTTCATTTTATAAGTAAATTTTAGAACAAACTATCAAAAACAACGAAAAAATCTTTAGGTGCCATTTTCGCAAAACTATGGTCATGTTGGTTGATATAAATTGCTTACCAGCATCCAGATGCACAGTAAAGAAAAATAGTTCTACTTAATTTCAAAGCATACTGCCAATCATTCTACATTTGCAGCCAGCTCGACAGAAAGATGTGAAATCATCGCATTGGTTGCAAGAAGATTTGTCGTAACTACCTTGACGTCGGTGCCGGTTCTTGTCTGGCACATAACGTTTTCAGGCTTCAAGTCGAGGTGAATGATGTTCTGCTCGTGCATGTGTTTGACACCCTCACAGATCTGCCGCATGTAATGCGCCGCTTCAGCCTCGCTCATATTGTAACCTGGTTCCGTGATGCGCTCGAATAGCTCGCCGCCGGAGAGGCTGGGGAAATAGATGTAGTTTAGAGCATTTTGCAGTGACAAAAGAAAATAGAGTAATGGTAGATATCACAATAATTAGTAGATCATGCATGACCTATAGGAACAAGAGTGATAGAATTATCTCCATTTTGTGCATCGAAGTTGACAATTGTCACTTCTTTGGCAGGCAAGCAGAACACTATGAAAAAAAATGAAAAAATTATGTAAAAAGGTAATCAACAGCTCCTTTGCTGTTGTAGATGTCCATGACTAAAATAATCACCTCCAATAAGGCAGCTCGTCTGCACGTTTGCCTCCTACTTTACATTAAAATATATAACGTAAAACATAAGTTACTCACAATTCAAAGATGAGCACCATCTCATCATCATCTTCAAAGGCATCGTGCAAATTGATCAGTTTCCTATGATGCAATTGGTTCATAATGTCAATTTCCTTCTTGATCAGCTCCTTCTCCATGGCGCCGGTGACGGGGATGAACTTAGCCGCGAAGTAGTTGCCGGTGGAACGCTCACGGCATCGGTGGACAACGCCGAACGCGCCTGTGCCTACAACAGTGGTCGGTACCTCATGCCTCTGTGGGTTTGAGCCTTTTCAATGGCTGCTACGCCTTTTTCACGCACCAAGCAACGCCAGTTTAGGTAATGTTTGAGATTTCGCAAACAGGAGGCAGTTACGCGTAAGGCTAGGTTCCGATGGACGCACACCTATCTCGGGTAAACGCGCGTTGGAACGTTCAGATGACGAGAGCCAACACGCGGAGTGAACGATAACGCGCGGTCATCTAAACAGGTGCACTGTTAGTACCTATAATTCTAAACGCGCGACGACGCACCAATTGTGAATTAATGAATGTAAAATGTATGAATATTTAGACGCGCGATTTGAAAACGCGTGTTAAATTTTTATCATCTTTAAACTGCTTGCGTTCACTCCTGTTTGCAGTATGTCATATATTTACCGAAGAATCGTAATGCCTTCAGGTGGAATGAGTAACTCGTGATCGCTTTACCGACTTTTGTTTGCGAAATTCTTTACAGTGTTCGCTCTGGTGTATTTATTGTTTGTTTTTGTCAAAATAGACTACTAGGACTAAAGATAATGTTAGATTGTAACCCCAGCATATCCGTTTTGAATAAAACAAATCAATAGGAAGAACTAGGTATACACTTTAGACAAATACAATACATAATTTGCAAATGACCCCGCTTGGTGACTGATATATTTATGTTGAGTATGGCTTTTGTTTATTAGGCATGTAAGATTCTTGAGTGTGTTTAATTTGATGAATACGATGCATTTCCAATAGATATTTCTAAATACGTGTTTCTATAACTAATTTAATAAAAATTTCCAATCATCTACCGTGCCAATTGTCAATAAAAATAAAATATAAAATAAATCAGAATAATTCCAATACAGTAAGTATCGACAGAGTTAAAATATGCACAGTATTATTTTGTAAAGTCCAAGCTTCGTTGTTCGTGTATCACGGAAATTACCGATTGCTTATTTGACGTTATAATTTTCTCGCTCATCAATTCACTACTGCAATTAAAAATGTATCTTAACCGTTAAGCTATAATATTAATATTCTGTTAAGTTGTAAGCAGTGACATTCTATATTTATCGGATAGCAGTGACATTCTATATTTATCGGATTAATAGCTTGGTTATACGGTTAATATTTTAAGTAACCTTTCACCGGATAAAAAAATTCTTAATAATATGATAAACATTTTATTATTTATTTATGATAAATATAATAAATATTTTCCACAAAGGTGATTCAGAAGCTTGGTATTTAGTTAATAATACTGCAGTTGTGCATAATGAATATATACCTATGTCATTACATAAGCCAAATTCGTGCATGTGCAGTCAATATGTAGAGATACACATATATAAAATACTTAAAAAATGTATATGTTATATAAAAAAATGTAATATTATTATATAAATGTAATAAAATTAAAATAATAAAAAATATTTTAAATAATCACTTATGTGTTACTGGTATCAGTATAGAATATATTTTTGAACAATGTATCATAACAATATTTGTACTGTATTATTTCTTTATCCCTAGCTTCTATAACAAATCCATGCTAGCTAGTCCGTGAAAAACAAAATATATAAATAAACAAGTATGCGTGTGAGAAAGAGAGATGCAGAGAGAGAGAGACGCACTACATCGATCTATTCACACACAGACCTTTCTGTTTCCTTTTGGAAGACGCTCTCACGAAGTCACCTGCGAAATTCACCACTACATGTATGTACTTAAAGTCGATTGTCTAAGTATGTTAGTAAATCTAATGTTAATCAAAACTTCTATGAGATTGATTTCTCAAGCAACTTCGTGAGTGTTTTTAGTTCTAATTTACTTTCATGCTAAATTGGATTTTTTTTTTCTGAACAGTTGTCATAAATGTGGGTTAACTCTTCCCTTATGGAATCCCTTAAGTTTTGTATTAAAAAATATACTATCTTGTTTCAATAAGAAACCAAATAACTTTTACTTTGGAAACCCTCTGAAAAAGAAACATCTGCTTCATACATTTCGATGACGACACATGATCAGTGACTGTGAAAAACTGATTTTTTTCCTTGATTGGAGGGATTGGGATTGAGGGTTCCCATAAAAAAAAGTTGTTTAGTTTCATGCGCAGAACATGCCTTTAAAATGAAGTGCACTAATCAATTACGACGTCGGAGTTTTACAATAAACCGAAGAATAAAAAACTACCAAAGCATAACGGTAAATCCATATTTGCGCCGGAGCAGGCATAAATTGACTTATCACACTTGAGCTGGGTATTTTGTTTATTGTTCTCAGGCAACCTAATAGTACATACGTACTTGTCAAGTGTTTACATTTATGGCCTATTTGTGTAATTCATTTTATTTTCCTACGTTTTCCAGGTAACCTTGTATTTTGTTTCTGTATTTTGTGCGTTTCTTAATATTTACATTCATAAATGTATAGGTTAAGGTTGTATCACTCCGGCGCATGTGTCCCGTTTTTCACCTACAACAATATTTTATGCGCAAATGTCCTGCGCGCCAAACTGGTAGGTACACCTATTGATGGCTATAAAATATAATTATAATTTTTTTCTTTTTATAGACTGACAAAAGTAACAAAACTCTCATGCAGCGCGATGGATACTCTACGGAACCAATATGGATACCGTGTGTGGGGAAAATGACTTTTCGTCATCGTTAAATTATACATAACTGAACCTTACGTCGTTCTTATAGGGTAAATAACATGCATAGACACTCACCAATCTCCTCAAGTATGTCATATTTGTCATACACCGAGCACGTGTTGATGTCAACAGGTTGTGGCACATATTTGCTGTAAATGTCGAACACGTAGCTGTCGTAGTCCTTCACTGGCCCGTGGTCCGCGTTCGTGCGAATGCGCTTGCCGGATTCGTCCACTACAAATAATGTTTGCTGTTAGAAATGGGAACTCATGGTGAAAGCAATGACTACCCCCTAATGTATACCCCCTAGTAGGGATTTAGTTTAGCTTTTTTATGATTATTTACGTTTTTCAGTGATTGTAAATTTGGAGAATAACTTTAAATGTCGGACCTGGATATTCCTTCTTCTTGAACTCCTTCTTTATAACCGCTTTGGTCGATACCAGTGTAGTGGGTTCGCTTGGTTCGGAGCGTCCGTAGATGTTCTCTGCATACACTCTGAACTCATACTGCTTGCCTGGCACCAGGCCTGTGATAGCCATTGTTGTGAACCTGGTGATAGAAGTTTAATGTTTGATTGCGGGAGCGTGTTTGGTCATAAAATATTGATCACCACTAGAGCATCGTGATTTTGAAGGCGTCCTCTGAACTGGTTACCAGTTAAGAAAAAGTGTACGCTGTATCTTTTCACTAACGTCATAGAAAATCAATCAATTCATAATTTCAGAAAAAGAAATTGACAAATCTAAATCCACCTGGTGTTGCCAACTCTTATCCAGCTGGACATTGGATGCTCTCTCTTCTCGACGAGGTAGTTGGTGATATCTGATCCACCGTCCCAAACTGGTGCCTTCCAGCTGAGAGCAAGCGAGTCCACGCCGATGTTGTCCACAGCTGGGAAGCGTGGCGGGTCCGGACGATCTACGAGAAAGATGCTTTATTGTGACGGAAACAAATTCTTTTGAATTTGAAAATTACGCTCTAGATTTTGGTGCTGCTTACGTTGTAAAAAAAAGGTCAAAAAAAATAATTATTTAATATCGAAATTCTTTTGGAAAAATGGCCGTAATTACAGATTTTGTGCTTCGAGAGCAATGCTCATTATTACAAAAGACTTGAGTTCTAATTTTAATGTAAATAAATTATTCATACTCCTTTAAGGAGCCTGTCTATAGATATTATTGTAACTAGTGTGACTCATGTTCCATCATATTTCAAAAGTGATTTCGATTGATCTGGTTATATACTCGATGGTTGAATCACAGTACTTTACAAACAAGCTTATGACATAGGTACACTGGTAAGAATAAAAGAAAAGGCTAGTCCTGGTATGCTGCGAACATAATAACGACTTTTCTATATTACTCACCACTGATTTCAATGTTGATGATTGCGGAATCCTGTCCGAGCTCGTTCTCAGCAGTGATTCTGTACGGGCCAGAGTCCAATTTGCTCGCATCACGGATTGTCAGGACAGCGTGACGTTCTGAAACATGGTTATCATTAAGTATGACAGATAATTATCATTAGACTTCGTGCTGGTTTTAAATGAATAGAAAGCATACACATACCCATGTACCAACCAATAAGGTACTTAGACACAAAAATATTGCAGCAATCGATTAAAATGAACACGTTGAAAATGTGTTTGAAACTCGTTTTACAGTAACTAAATACCAAATGTTAATGGTTAAACTCGGTGGTTTTTGGTATGCATTGTCTTTGGTATGCACTTCATGAAGGTATGACGTCATAAACAGCTATTGCCGTTTTTAACTCCTGATTTCTAAATGCATGCAACTACAGATAAAATGTAATATTTTGTATCGATTTAATTACATGAAAAGCACACATGTCCTAGTTGTACGGCAAAAGTCTTAAGTTACCAACCTCCTACCTCTATCTACCATAATATTTTTTTTTGTTAAATGGTTATTTGTGTCCAATTTAATTTATTTAGTACTATTAGTATTTGAACTTTATGGTTAATTATTTGTGCTAAATTTATATTTTATTATTATTATATTTTTTTTTAATACCAAGTGACGACACGAACAAGCCGTGCACCTGGTGGTAAGCGACACGCCTGTCCATAACAGCTGCAGTGCAACTCAGAGCTCTAAATTGTAAAGGCAGGGGCACTGCCACTACGCCCACCACCCTGCGACTTAAGTTGACCAGTCCCAGGTGTCTGTAATTTCACCAGCATCCATACCCTTCCAAACCGCAACGCAGTAATGCTCACATTACTGCTTGGTAGCAGTACTTCTCTGGTCGAACTCTTTCATAAAAGAGGTATATTGTTCCATTTCATGACGAGCTATGGCGAGGGCTATGTTTGTATTGTCCTCAGATACTGAGTCATAAACCCTTTTGATATGTTATTTTTAACTTATTTATTTTATTTTGAATATTTTTCCATATTTTTTTGCATTCTATTATTGAGTTATTATTTTATAAAGCACTGCTGACTACTAGCACACGGATACAAGAGATTTTAATCGCTTAGGTCAAAGGTCGCTAAGGTCACGCATTAAGATACTATTTGGGCGGTTACCAGTTCTCTTAAGGTATACACTGGTGTTACAAGTTTGAATAGGATTAAAAAACTAACCTTTCCTCTCGACATGGTAATGTCCACCAGACTCGATGGTCTCGCCCTCTCGTACCCACGTGATCTTCGGCACCGGGTGTCCGGTGAAGGGAATCTTAACAATCACATTCTCGCCCTTGTCGAAGTACGCCGTCACGCGGAAGCGCGGAGGCACGTTCAGTTTTGGTGCAGCTGGAGAAGTAAACGGAACGGTTAAAACAGATAATAATCGCTGTATGTAGCATGTAAATCTTACTGTTTATTTTGATTCAAAGGTAAAAAATTTCATAGAACTACTATTTTAACCGACTTTAAAAAGAAGGAGGTTCTCAATTCGACTGTATTTTCTTTAGTGCGTATGTTATGCGATTACTTTGACATTTGGGAAGCTATTTCGATGATTTTCTTTTTGTTGGAAAGGAGGTGGTACATCAGTAGTGGCCACATTCAATTTTGAAGAAAATATTCCACTTCTAAGGGTAGTAAATTAGGAGATGAAATAGTTATTGAATTTCACCCATTTTCCATTTAATGATTTCAATATAACTAGGGAAATAGATGTAATTCCACAAACTGTTGACGTTTGTTTTTCTTATAAAACAGTTATTTCAAAGTCTTGGTACAGACAGTACGTACACTATCTGTAAGATTGTTCGTTAAATGTAAAAATATATTCTTGATACAGCATAGTTTAAAAAAAGAATGATAATAGACAATTTTTTAAAGAAAACTTTGAAATGTACTGGACACGGTTATAATTGAGGAGTGCCAGAACAAAAACTGATAGACCCATTACGTGAATTATTTCACAAATTGAAAAAAAAAATAAGTTTATGGTTTACTAAATTAAGGTTTAAGGATATACGACTGTGAACTGGCAATCGGTACTATCTCAATTTTGACAACTTAACAGGATGATGAAAAAAATTGTTTGCGTCACTTATATAGCATCTGGTTTATTCAATAAAAATACGTAGTTTATAAATATTTTTACTACACATGTATACTACGTATTTTTATTTTATAAACCAGATGCTATATAAATTAATTTTTCTTCACCTGTAAAGTTGTCAAAACTGAGATAGTACAGATTGCCAGTTCACAGACGATATGCCAATTTGTTGGCATTTGTAATAGTGTCTCGTAACTTAAATATCGCTTTCGGGTGTGCAGATTCCGAAAAAAATAAAATATTAATAATGTTATCGGTTTTTGATCAGACTAATTGGATTTATCAGTATTTGATGTGACCTGTGATGTGAATTGTTTCATAAAATTAAATGGATATGGATATGTGGATATTATGTAGGTTTATGTTTAGATTATGCATTTCGAGGAGGTTTTTTAAGCAAATCTAACGTTTGTTGGACAGGTTCTATCGATTAGGGTTAAAGATAACGACCCCTCCTACGTAAAGTATCGTATGTCGAAATTGCCAAGTTTACAGGGGAGTGTATTAAAGTTTTGAATTAACTGAAATGAGCATGTCACGTGACTAATAAATTGTAAAACAATAAAATAAATTGTGGTTGTTCATCTAACTGATAACTAGGATATTATAATACTCTATGTAAGTAACGAGCTCTGCCGACTAAATTCTTGCTCATTTCAGTGAATTCAAAACTTTAAAACGCTCCCCTGTAAACTTGGTAATTTCAACATGCGATACTTTACGTAGGAGAGGTCGATATGTACAAAATCAATATATTACCATATTAAAAAAACATGCCAAAATGCTATTTATCGGTTTTCCTTAGGGATCGTACAAATCTGGCGAATGTGCCGCAAATGCGTTTGCAAAAGGCTTGCGAACTGCGCACGTGTATTACGTAGAGCGATCTGTTCGCGTGCCGTTCACGCGCCACAAATACTAACATGTATGCAGCACGCGTGCGTATTCGCGAGGTCTGTACGCACCCTTATGACACTCCTCAATTGTAATGATTGTAAACTCCAGTAAACCATACTTGAAGAATACGTATGATAAATACAAACGTATATATATAGAAATACTTACTCATAATAAGCAGTTCAGCTCTGGTACTCTTAACGCCTGCTTTATTGACAGCCCTGCACACGTATTCATCGGCGTCTTCACCGAACACATCCATAACGGTGAGGAAATGATTGTCACCCTCGCTCCAAATGCGATGTCTCGGTCCATTGGTAATTTCGCGGGCGCCCTTGTACCATGTGATCGTCGGATTCGGCGATCCTGTGATTGTGCATTGGAATTTCGCGTTGTGGTACTGGATGCAGTTGGCGTTCTTTAGTGGTTTCACGATCTCTGGTGGTGTTGCCGCTGTGAATATAAAATTAATTCGTTAGATAAATAGTAAAGGGATATTTTGATCACGTGGTTATTTTTCTTTTTTATGCCTGTCCTATACGTTGTATCATTTGATGTATTCTGAAAAGTTGGGTAATTCTCCGAAAAATTTTCAAAAATTGGAATAATACAATTCGAAGACACATATTATGTTCTACGTTTAGATATTTTTTAAAGTTTTATTTGACATGAGTTATAAAATAAAATTGTATAAACATTCCTAATATTCTAAGCGCTGTCTATTTTCAAAAATTCTCCTAGTAGAGGTCAGTATCTTCAACTTTCGACAGGCGTCACTGTCAATTGTGGGAAAATATAAAAAAATATTGATTTTTCTGAAAAATAGGATTTTTTCAAAATCGAAATTTTTCATGTCCTATTACTATACACACCAATGTTTGTACCGTACAGGGGTGCAACATACAACAGTAGAGTGTTATTGTAATCACGAGTAAAAACAATTTTACATTTCCTTATTTTTACAACTTCCCATACTAACCTGAATCAGATGTTTTTGTCAATTTGAATATCAAAGGATGTTTATATTATGAAAACGGGGCTATAACTCTAGCCCCGTTTTTCTTACAACCTACATGTGTTACTTACAAACTTTAATAACTTAAACCATTTCATCAAAAGGTCACTTGAAAGTGAAATCTCTCACCTTTAGGATCGACGACCTTGACCTGTTGACTAGCGGTGCTAGGTGGTGATGGTCCTGCTTCGTTGACAGCTGTCACTCTGAACTCGTACTGCCTGCCTTCGATGAGGTTAGAGCAGTTAAGCTGGTTCGGTAGACAGAGTACGATGTTCACGCGCTGCCATGTCGTCGCACCCACTTCGCGTTTGTCCACCCAGTATCCTGGAAAAAGGATAGTTTGAAATATGTAAATAATTCCTATATTCAAAAAACTCATCACAGCTAAAATTCATTGGTAAAAAAGTTGAAAACCATTCAGCAAAGGCAATTGATATAGCACTATGACAAACTCTATCCTATTTTCCTACACGGTCACCACATTTTATATCACTACATGAACTATTATTACTTCATAAATTATAAGTCTATTTGTCAAAATACTGATTGTAAAGAAGATGACATGTAAACAATAAGTATAGTTGTTTCCTTGTGTCCTACCAAACATCAAGCATATTGAAGGTATACTATACGTTTATCCATGTTACGCACTTCAACAGACTAAACCAAAAGTGTAACATGTTGTTTTTTTTAACAACATCACATGAACGTGCACGTGCGGGTCTAATAAGATAGTCAGACTGATTAACTGAGATATTTAAATGCGGTAATGGTTATTTGGGTCTATTTTAATGATAATAGTTATAAATTGCAACTGGGTCTCAAAATAATTAAAACAAAAAAAATGCAGTAATAATATGTAAACAGAGTTATAAAAATAAATTTAATCAAATGTCGAAGGTTTTATTAACTTAAAATTATTATTATTTTTTTTTTATTAATAAATAAATAAATAAATAAATAACGCACACACTCAACATAGCCCCGCACTAGGGAAACCCTGTGTCGCGGGTGCCATGGACACACACATAGACAACCACAAATTACATCCAAACTCACGAGAGAAATAATTGTAGGCCATACAACTATTTCTCCCGGCCCGGGAATCGAACCTGGGACCTCTGCGTGGCAGTCCGGCATGGTAACCGTTAGGTCACGGAGGCAGTTAAAATATGGTAAAGTTAAATTATTGATATGACATTAAAAAATTTGCTAAAACGAGATTTGCTAAATGGTATCAAAGATTTTAGACAATATTTACCTTGAATTCTAGATCCTCCATCACTTTCAGGTTTGTCCCATTCGAGGTGGACAAAGTCGCCTCCGACTTCTAGAATCTTCGGCACACCAGGTGCTGATGGTGGATCGAACGGTGCCTTGGCCTAGATAGATCAAATTAGATTTTTAGTGATTTATTATGTTTAGTAAAATTATACTAAAAAAGGGACATGTCACATCTTTGCTTGCTTGTATAGGGTTGTCACTTTAATGATCTAGTTTATTAATACGACAACCATATTGTGGGTTTTTTAAAAAGCTAGTAAAGAAAAATGTTAAGATTTGAAATATTAGAATATAGCTTTATTATGGTTTTTTTTCTATTTTAAGTGTAGTAAAACAGTGAAACTGTCCATGTACACAGTTCATATTTTTTATCTATATGCTGACAAAAGTCAGCTCATGGCATAGCAAGGTGTATTTCAATTCTATAGTGCAACTTAACCTTAAAAGTTACATATAAGATACATTAGAAATATTCTTGAACGTGTAGGTATCTATACGCTTCACAACTTTGAATTAATTAACATTACTGGTTAGTTAAACCGTTGGATCATTTTAACACTTAATTTTTTTTAATGCTTGTTTTAATGTGGCAGAATACCACACTAATTCCCTGGTCTCAAACTAGGGAATTCCCTGTACTATGAGTACCAGAGCAACTCACTCTCACTCAGACTAAGAACAATTTAAAAAAATCTCAAATTGTTTGTACCGGGGATCGAACCCGTGACACGGCAATAGTGGCTATTCGTAGAAAAAGACGATCGTGAAACCTTACCTTAATAGGATTAGCGCCTTCGAGAGCCGGCCCAATGCCATTCTCGTTGGCAGCGTGTATCCTGAAGTTGTATTCGTGTCCCTCAGTGAGACCCTGTACTGTGAACTTGGTGTCGCGTACTGATGACGCGATTGTGATCCACGCTGTGCCAGATAGGTCGTTGCGTTCTACCACATAGTGCGTAACTGTGGACAGGAAATCTGATTTAGAATCATGTCACAGAATTATAAGAGTTATATTTGAATGTAAACGTTTTAATTATGCCTGCGCGATGTCGCGGTGACTAAACGTCACGACAATGTCTCGGTGATCCATCCACGTTTTGCGATAACATCGTAGTAAGTGTGGAATCAATTCGTTCAATAGGCAATCGGACAATAATTTTATTTTATTTATGGAGGAATGCTAAACAACAGTTATGAGTTACACAGTTTTAAGAATATATCGGTATAGCTAATTGTACACAATCAACCACATACACAGATTATTACAAAAATATAAAATTTTCAAATGAAGCATGTTCGCTGTTGATTTTTTTTAAAGTACAATGCTGAAAAGAATATAAATTTAAGAAACAAACAAACTTAATAATATTATTAAAACAGTTTCACAATCCACTACAGTGCCATATCCAACGTCTCAGTAACCGCCCTCGTAAACTTGTATCTAGACAGATAAAAAATATCTACTTCCGATATAGCTCATTATAATCAGAAAAAATCTAAAATGGAGTTAAAAGGAATATATGTGTAATAAAACGATCATTCAACCAATATTTTTGTAAAATAATAACGATTTGTATTTTGAATTTTCGAATTTTTTTAATGGGTGATTTTACAAAATCACCCAATAAAAAAATCAATAAATAAAATATGAAAATTGTAATATATTTAAACGCCACGTGACATCATATGTAAGTCAGTAAGACAACGTCACGCTATTCACCGTTCGCGTATTACCTTGTCTTTTCTTCGTTTAATTACTTTTGAACTAAATACGATAAAAATTTTGGATTGAGTACAGCAGTCAATCAATAAGTGAAATTATCGCAAGTGGCAAGTACTAATTGTTTAGTTAGTTTACATATTAATGACGTCACGCGTTCTTGAGTTGACACATAGTGCCGTTAGTGAGGCATTTTTTGAAATTACGTTGAAAGATAGTTTTAAAGAATTGAAAACTTTTTTTTTAAATTATGTCTACTAATATTTTTTATTATTTAACTTTAAATACTTTTTGAAAAGCTGTCCTCCCTATTCCAACACTTAATTCTGATTCTCAACGATTTTATTTACTTAAGAGACGTGGAAATAAGAGCCTACGCTACTGGAAATAGATTAAATTTAATATCTTTAAAACATAAATTAAACATTATATCTTACCTGGTAATCCGCCATCGTAAGTAGGCGGCTTCCAGGCCAAAGTGCAAGAATGTTTGCTAACGTCGGTGGTCTCTAGTGGTCCCTGTGGTGGTCCAGGCAGGCCGGTTACTGTGACGGAGAACGAGTCTGATGTTTCGCCGGAGTTGTTCTTGATTGTCAATTTGTATATGCCTGAGGAGTAAGCAATTGATTAAAAACTTGTCCTATTTATTGTTATACAATATCCTATCGATACGCCGCGGTTTTATTACTAAATTAAAATTATTATTATATAAAATTAGTTTTTAAATTCTGGAAAGAAAAATTAACATTCTTTAGACCGGGTTGACTAAGGCCTGACCTTATTATTATTATTCTTTAGACCTGGTGTTAGCTTTTAAAACGTGATTACAATATCTTGATTTGAAAAAACAGTATTTGAGTGTAAATTTTAATCAAGAAGCAGATTAATTACGTATCTCGAGTTAATGTGGAGTATTATGTTATCTTGAAGCTCTCCAGATTGTTCGCCTGTAATAATACATCAGAACCCGAAAGCTATAAAAGTATTAGCTTGTAATATTTTAAAATAATTTCGTTAAACATTTCTAGCAACGATCTAGTAACGACTTACCCATATCATCTTTCGAGATATCCTTAATAAAGATCAGAATGTAATCATCCAAGACGGTGAACTTCAAGTGTGGAGAGTCGGACACCTTGTGTCCGTCCTTCGTCAATGTGACGTCAACGGGCTGGTCGCCGGTGTACAGGATCTTGATCTTGGTGTTGTCGTGCTCAGGCAGGTGGAGATCGCCCGGCATGCGGGTGATGCGCGGTGGGCCTGGGGAGAGACACATATTAGTATTTTCCATTCTTCAAAATAAAGCCAGCAAAACTGCGCGAACAATACCCGGTGGCAATTAATATTGTGTTATTGAGATTTTTTGTGAAATCACTCCACTAGTTTTGTTATGATTATTAATACAAATATCGAATACATAGAATGTTTTTTTTTCTTCGAGCCGGCGGGACTTGAACCCACGATAATGCTGCACCGTAGCATTGCTCTTACCAACTGAGCCACAGGTCAAGTTACCGAGCTGTCGAAATTCTCCTATGTGTTTTTGTTATAGATCGTACTGGCCTTCGGCATTCGTCGCCGCTAGTGACATTTAGTGATAGATTTTTGAAAAACCTCACCGCAGCCGGTGATAATGTTGACAGTAAACAGTTCCATACCGCAGGGTAGTGTTATAGGATGTCCTTTTTGTCATATATATTAATGATTTGCCAAAAATAACCGATCAATTGTGTATTCTTTTCGCAGACGATATTTCTTTACTTTTTAAATGTCCCAATAATAACAATCTTTCAAAACTAGTTGAAACTTTTAATACTATTTCTCTGTGGCTCTCTGACCACAAATTAGAAATAAATAATAAAAAAAGTAAACTAATTCAATTCAAACCGTACCAAAAGAAAAAAAATGAATCAATAACAACTAATTTACATATTGAGGAAGTAGAACATTTCACTTATTAGGATTGACAATAGATACTCATCAAAATTCATTGAAATTTCTCTATGTTTGTGCCGATTGTGTATCTAAATAAATAAATAAATAAACAAAACTGGAAAAGACATATTGAAAACATAAAGACCAAATTATCACAGTTTATCTATGCACTATATGTATTAAAATGTAACGCACAAGTAGAGTGTCCCCAGACAGCCTATTACGCCTATGCGTTTGCTTGGCTCCGGTACGGTATTTTGTTATGGGGCCACAGTACTGACGCCAAAGATCTTTTTATTATGAAAAAGTGTATTCGTATAATCTATAATATCCGACCCAGAAATAGCTGCAAAACAATTTTTATAAAAGAACATGTAGTCACACTTCCTTGTATATATTTAATGGAAACAATAAAATTTGTAAGAAAAAGTATTAATAATTTTGAATTCATTACAAGTGATCGCCGAAATACCAACTTAGTCTTAGCAACACCCCGTATCGAAATTTATCGAAATAGCCCACATTATAGAGCAGTAAAAATATATAACAAATTACCTGACACATTAAAAACAATAGAAAAAAGCTCCACATTTTGCAATAAACTCAAATTATTACTAAATAGAAATGCTATTACTCAGTTAATGAATATTTTGAAGATACTTTTAAGTAATATTGCTTCCCTTATGTAAACCATTAAATTGCATTCAACAAATTGTATTATTAATTTTAATTCTTGTATTCAAATTGTATTATTAATAATTTTAATTTTTGTATTCAAATTGTATTTTTAATTTTAATTCTTTTATTCAAATTGTATTATTAATTTTAATTTTAGTTTATAAGACTAATCATTTGTTATACCCTTACTGGGTGCATGTAACATTTTAAATGTAACGTGTCTACTAAAGCAAATGAAAAAATAAATGAATAAATAAAATAAATAAATAGTTTTTTAAAATTTTCAATTTAAGTAAAACAGATATATTAATGGAAAAAAGGTAATATAGATAGAAGAGGTACAGTATCCATAATTTTACATTGCACGTAAGCTCGTGGAGTATCAAATGAAGACTTTGTGAGATTGGAGATTTTCTTTCCCTTATCTACATGATTCCTATCTCCCTACTTGCTTATTATACGTCACCATCATCCGTTTGAGTTCTTAGTTTTATCACAGACATGATTTATATTTGCAGTTTTTGTATCGATTTTCTTTAGTTTGCTGCCGGATCCTTTTTAAAGGAGAAATGGGCTGAAGTAACACGCAATAAAAGCTGGGTACGTACTAAATGTAGCACCGTTTGCTATAAGCATTTTACGGCATCATATTAAATTATATACATATGAATAACAACCGAAAAATTTATTAAAAAATTAATCATTTGATTAATCAGGTGGACATGAAACTCAGAGTCGCCTTCACAAATTATAGACCATATCTAAATGTTAAAACATTTCTGAAGCTTGTCGGTTATTTTTCGTCAAGTTTTCATGAAACAAATGATTCACTTTTTCGCCTTCGGAAATAAGTATCTTCATTTTCTTGACAAGCTTGTCGACGCTGTAGGTGTAGTCATGTTCAGCCAGTTCAGAAAGAGGTAATTGTTAAACAAATATATCATATTTCAGGGAGAATAAAGATTTTTATGATGACCGTTTTAATATTTCAACCCTTCGGGGTTCGAGTCATCGGATTGACTTGAAATCTAGTAGGTTAATGAAAGTACGATGACAGTATAATAAATCATTAATACTATGATTGTAGCATGTAACTGCGTATACGCACACGCCTGCGGAGCTAATATCAATTAATATTTGCGTGTAGTAAAACCTTATGCGTATTTGGTAAAAAATGTCTGTGTGTAAAAGTCAGCTACGCTAGTTCTCGATGTAATTGCTTTAAATGCCGTTTCCATATACTCCGTGATTAACCCCAATTATAGCAAGTCTAAAGCAATGCCTAATTCAATATTCCGCTAGTTATGAAACTTAGGGCCGTATTCCAGAACTCTACTCAATACTCAAGTCAGGACTTGAGTATTGCAGTGAGCACTGAAAATCATACTCAAGTCCTTGCCATTAGGGTTGTATTTCCAGTGCTTGAAATCATTCTCTAGTCTGCTCAAATCCTGACTTGAGCATTGAGTAGAGATCTGGAATACGACCCTTAATGTCGGTATCAATTAAATGTCACATCCCTGTCTGTAGATTGTCAACTTTTTGCTTTTGTTCCAAGAAGTTTATGTTCATAGGATACTTAGCTTTTATGTGACTAGTAATAATAAAACCTTATTAGATCCAAATAAGTTTCAGTTTTTTTTACCAAAAGTTAATTATTATTGTCTATTTTCGTGTGATAATTTTTAACCAATCTAAATTATGTTATCTTAGTACTAACGTAAGATTACGTTTTGAAATGTGTGCGTGTTTAAACACCGGTTTTGATACAAATGTAGCTCGATGCCATTTCCATTCTTTTCTTGCTTCCGTGATAGAACCTGTACGGGTATACACTGCAGAGCGCAAACAAGCGAGATTTACTATGAGACACAGTCGTGATTCGTGGATCAAATAGTCTGCCGAGACTATAACATAGAGGATCCAAGCGAATTAGGCAAATAAAAACGTAGAAGGACCACTTACTTCCAATCTTCAGATGTCCCGTGCAATAGATGAAACCGATACTGTTGATGGCCTCGCAAGTGTAATCACCCTCGTCCGCATCCGCTGCCTCAGTGATGTTTAATCTTAGAGTACCGTCGCGGGATTCTGCGATGAATCTGTAATGCACACGAAAACATTACAAAATAAAACTATAAACTTTTCTAATAATTGGGTCTCAATCTCAACTAAAGAACCAAAGGCTCTAACTACAATTAGGCTGCTACTAAACACCTGCATGCGCGAATTTCGCAGGCAAAACCGACTGCACGCAGTTAACATCGACTGCATGCAGTTGACATTAACTGCTGGCAGTTATCGCCGCGGGCTTAGCTCAGGAGCTCAGTGATAAAGTTCAAGTCGAGATGGAAGCACGGACGTTACTTCTGTAACTATTGTTATGTCGCATTCAAATAATAAATTAAAAACCTTCAAAAATAATAATCATTACCTCTTGCCATTACTAAAACAAAAAGTTTCAGACGCAAAAAAATAATAATATATGCTCGTAAATATGTCAATTACTACTTTTGATTCTCAGACTATCATTCACCTCGACGCTTGAAGTTGAAGTCTCAACTGCATACAGTTGAGTTTCGACTTCACGCATTAACTGCAAACGTGCAGTCATCTGTTAGTAGCCTTACAGTGACTTCGCCAGTCTGTTCATTGTTCAGGAGGTTGCTAATAGTATGTTACGTATCTAATCTCCATTTTTGCCGTAAGTCTATAGCAAAGCATCTAAATGTTATGCTAACCTGGTGCCCAATACAACTTCTCTTCCGTTACGGAGCCATCTGCCAGTAGGAATAGGGTTGCCGGTTGCGACGCACTCGAGCGTGAATGGCCTGCCGAGTGGAGCGCACATGTGCGGAGGAATCTGCTTCACCCATTCGGGTTTCGTGCCGCCAATCTCTTCACCCGTTCGGACTGGCGTCGTGCAGGTTGAAGGCTCTGATTTGCCTAATAAAAAAATGTTCGGTCATAATTGCTTTATTCTTTGAAAGCTAGATTCTCTAAAAAGTTTTCCCCGGATTCACAAATACAATTTTTCAACAAGGACTTGTTGAAATGACGTTTAGTATACCAGATTCAAAATAGCTTAATGGTTTTCGATCAATCAAACATTGTTTAAGCTTAGGGCTTTTGCTGCAGATGCAAGTTGGCTCGAATTATATGTCCGGGAGTGCAGAACTTCCTATTAGGGCTATATTTAATTAACAGTAACCGAACCTTCTTGTTAAAATGAAAATGTACTTACCAGCAGCATTAACAGCGATAATTCTGAACTCATAGTCAGCCTTTTCATTAAGATTGAGTGCCGTGAACGTAGTGTCCTGCACGTTGTAGTCGTTGCACTTCACCCAAACGGAACCGCCGACGTCGCGCCGTTCGATTATGTAGCCGGTAACGCGAGAGCCTGTCGCGAAAGGAGGCTGTGTTATTCGTCAAACTATTTAAATGTAGATACTAGATATATCACCAAAAATATTTGAGTTATACAAAGTTGAATATAGAAGAAATAATAGTATTTTGAAATTTTAGAGTGAGTCAGCTTGTATTTGCACAAGTGATGACAGAAAGAAGAATTGGTAACATCAATGCTCAAACGATGCCTGCTCACTTTTTTCTTCTTGGCGAGTGAATACTTACTGTTTTTGCGGCTCAAGATAGACTCATGGTTGTAACTTACCGCCATCTGTACTTGGTGGGTCCCAGCTGAGATCGACGTAGTTGCGTCCAACGCGCATGACGCGTGGTGCGTTGGGTGCACCGGGTGGACCGAAACGGGGCTTGACGCGGAACTTCTGCGAGCTGGCAGAGTACTTGCTGAACCCAGCAGCGTTCTTCGCGCGAACGCGGAATTCGTACTCGTGCCCTGGTTCCAGGTTGTACGCCTGGATGAACATACGTTTGGTATGTTTATGTTGCTAGGTAATAGGCAGGCCGACAGACAAGTACTTAGTACGTTATATACATAGATTCTGACACAGTTTCGGATTCCAAATTTTGATTTTAACTTGGAAAGTAAGAGTGCGTGATTCCACAAAACTGTTAGGTCACATAAAACACCTACCCAATCTGTTGAAATTCATAGAAATAATCCATAATTCATTTATTTATGGAAATACAGATTGTATTTAAGTATCACTATGCTTTCTTAATACTTAAGGTATATTACTTGGTGTAACGGCCAGGTATATTATATATTCACTTCAACAGACTAAATCACGTGTAACAGGGTTTTTTTGATAATATCACACAGCGTTTCCTGCACGTTTCCTGTACGTATGGCGCAGCCTGGGCAACAATCGGCAAGTACCTTACGGCGATTGGCAAATTCTTTTACCTAGATGGCAAGAATTATAGTGTACGTCTTCGATATGAGAAGGAGACTTCAGATGAAATAGTAAATAACCGTTCTGTATTGTCATCGAGTATATAACCAGAAATAAAGACGAAATAAGGGCCATCCATCCCTGGCAACTTTTCAGACAAATGGAACTTTTATCATCTTTAAATATTAACTCTCGTTTGCACTGAAATCACAAATTAGAAGGCTGAAATAATACAGCGCAAACAACTGACCTGTGTGTACGTCTCCGTACATCCAAAAATATTGTGTTTATTGTAATAAAGACAATATCTCTAACTATGGGGGGCTGTTCAATTTGGTGGTGTGGGACAAAACAGCAATATATCTAATTACAAAACAAACGGAATCAAATTTCATCAGTAATTAAATATGTAATTATTCAATTATCCTCCATTATAGCAAAGCTCAAGTTAAACTGGTCGTTTTGAAGTGAAACAATTTCAATTGTTTCGAATTCGGGCTAGCCAATCGCAGCGCAATTGTCGCCGTAATAATATGGCAGGACAGTTTTGAAAAAATTAAATGACATTTCGTCTCTATTTCTAGTTACATACTCGATGTGTATTATTAACCGTAATGATAGCGATAAAATGTAACGTGCGTACCTGGTAAGTGCAGTCTTTGACAAGATAGTCTGCGCTGTTCCAAATACCATCTTGTACATCGCGGAACTCGATTTTGTAACCCTGAATACGAGCGCCGCCGTCTGAGCGTGGTCTGTCCCACACGACAGTCGCCGTGGAGCCATCCCATTCGACCACGCGGGGAACGCCCGGTGGGTCGGGAATTGTGAATGGGAACTGTGGAAAAAGGTATTTTAAATATAATATATTCATTTATAAAACAACCGGTTTTTAGGCATGTTATCATCAAATACTAATTTCTTTTTTTATGATACCTTGCGCCTAGTGGTAACGACACGCCTAATCATAGCAGTTGCAGTGTCACTCAGAGCTTTAAATCGCACAGATTTGACGCACACTGCCACTGCGCCCGTCACCCTGAGACATAAATTGACAAGTCCCATGTGCCTGTAATTTCACCAGGACCCTTACCCTTCAAAACCGGAACACTTTACTGCTTTACAGCAGAAATAGGCAAGCTAAGTAATTCCATATGAATTAAGTTAACAAAATACATTAAAACTAATTTTTTATCTGCATTGTCTAGAATAAGATCCTATCTATATGCATATTTATCCCGGATGCATTCCAATACTGTATATCCTATTACGATAAAACTTTCAAGAGTTGTAGTACCCATGCCCACATGTTTTCAGTGATATTGCAAAGTCTACTGCGTAAAGCTAGTCCTAGATTAAACAGGAAATAATCGGCATACAAAAGGTTGTACTTAACTAAAGAATAACGTACCTTGGCAGTGATAGAATCGTCCATGGTAAGCGGGTTCGAAACGCCGTACTGGTTTTCGGCGCGCACGCGGAATGTGTATTTCTTGTTTGGCTCCAGGCCCATGACGTTGTAGTGGCAGTTGCGAACGAATGATGAGATCTTTGTCCATGCCTGCAATATACCCATGTTATTTATTTTTTATGTTAACTATTGTAGCTTCAATGTTTGGTACTTCAAAATACTTAAGACCAGAATCAATTTAAAAAGTTCGTTTCACAAAATGGTGGTAATTATTTCGGCGCTGACAGTGTTAATCGCTGGGCTCCGAAGTCATTGGTGGTGTTTTACTTCACTCAATCCATTGACGTCTGTTTAGCATTGCGATTGAGTTCCCGGGGTCTCCAACAGTACATGTTTATTTGATTTACAGATTTATAACATTAAACCAAGAATTGCCCTAGTCTCGTACGTAACTACACGACATAAGCTTTTCAAAACGGTAAAATAAATAAAACACGAGTTAGTTAAGTATGATCGACACTCAAGGTCCTAGAATTAGACATTTTTTGCATAATGTCACCTGAGAAAATTATATCTCTTGAGATGCATCATATTCTATACTTACGCCATTATTATCCATCTTCTCAACAACGTAGTTGGTGATGGGCGATCCGCCGTCGTCGAGGGGTGGCTTCCACGATAGCGTGCACGTGTCGGGTGTGATATCATACGCTTCCAGTGGGCCTTGTGGTGGCGATGGCTTGTCTACTACTAGCACCTGCATTGAAACAACTTATTTAATAGGGCATTTACTATTTAATAAATTTATAATATAGAACAACAATGTGTATATATTTCAGAATATTGTCGAATATAAACAACTAAACCTCGCAAGCTAAAAGAAATTAATAAAGAATTATAGTAATTCTTCTTTGTCCTTGAAAATTGTAACTCTGCAAGTGACCTGTTTCTTCTCGATTATGGGGCACTATAAACACGTATTTAACCGATACTAACATACAAGTTAAAACGGCTAAAATAACACTACTATAGAACTTAAATTTACGTAATAAATATGTAAGTTATATAATTAACTTACTCTGCAAGTAGCACTGTCAGAGCCCTCGCTGTTAACCAGCTGAATGGTGTATGATCCAGTATCGGATCTCTTTGCGCACGAATTGTGGAACACTGTGTCGATGTCTGACGTTACAAAGCGTATGCGGTTGTCCGGGAACACCTCCTCGTTGTTAATAACCCATGATACCTGCGTAAGGTTTAAAATTCGTTATTGTTTGCTTTATATACAGAACGTTGAATAAGTTGATCAAACTGCAAAACTTAGCTGCAAAGACTAGTCTGCTTAAGCTCTCGATGAATGAAAATTTTATTTGGATTTACTTGCAATTTATTTCATTTAGACACTCACCTTTGGCCTGGGATTGCCTGTGAAAGGCACAGTA